GAGAGAGAGAGAGAGAGCGAGAGAGAGCGAGAGAGAGAAAGAGAGAGAGAGAGAGAGAGAGAGATGAAGAAGAAAATTATAGGCAAGAAAAGATACCTTATGTGCAGCTCTTCTTAATGGCGCCACTATTCGTGATGAATTTACGAACATCTCAGAGTCACGATTGCAATTTTCTAGTGTATAGTATAGTGCTGCTCCAAATAAATTGAAATGATGAATGGATTTGTAATTAGAATAAAACTGTTTAAGTGAAACACACACACGCGATTTTTTTTAGAACCTTTTATTTGTAAAGATCAGTATGAAAATCTGAATTCTCTTTCGTACCTCACCACAGACGTATTTCCAAATCACCGTTTCTCCACATCTCTTTACACGCGACATTTTCAAGCTTGTTACACGCTAAATAACTTGTAACTTAGATTAGGAACAGTTTCTAGTAAACGATAATATGCACACGCCTCGCCTCTCTTCTATCCGTACGCCTACTCGATCCACACGACTCTTCGCGACTTGGAAAGTGTATGTAATTGACACACGATCGCAGACGCAGGCAGCAGAGTGGGCTGCAGTCGCCCACTATGACCGGACACGGTGCGAATTAACTGTAATGACGATACGGACGATACTTGCGACTGCACAGCGGTCTCCGGTGTGGGCCCTACCTAACAAGCATCGTCGTCGCACGGCCATATTCTCTCGATCGTATTTCCGCGGCGAAACGGAGATCTAGAGGATACAGCTCGCTGCCACGAGAGGTCGCTGTGGGCTCGAAGAACCAGCGCGTAAACGAAGCACAACCAGATCCGGCGGACGTACCGGGAGTGACATGACCGAAATGTTACGCGAACATCGAATGCGGTGAAATTTACAGGCGAACAAGAGAACAGCTCGGCTTAAACCGCGCGAAGCCGGCCCGCCACGTGACTTGGCAGACGCCAGCGAGTGAATGCCCTCTGGTAAAATTTAGACGTATGAAATATATACACCAGTATATCCTCTTTGCCATATCTTTCCGTGGAGCCCCCACCCCCAAAACATCGCCATCAACAACGACTAACCCACTGCGAACCGCGACTTACGCAATAATGCATGTACGCACGTACACATCCACAGACGGGAGTCCCTACCTATAAAAATTAGCCCTCCCTGCACAATAAAGACCCCAAAAATTCTGCAAGCAAACCTCCCATTGCTTGCACACAGAGAGCGAGAGAGAGAGAGAGAGAGAGAGAGAGAGAGAGAGAGAGAGAGAGAGAGAGAGAGAGAGAGAGAGAGAGAGAGAGAGAGAGAGAGAGAGAGAGAGAGAGAGAGAGAGAGAGAGAGAGAGAGAGAGAGAAAGAGAGAGGAGAGGGGAAAGACGGAGAAAGAGAGAGATGGAGAAGAAAATCGCGTACCTTCGGGCAAACTATAATTACGGCGGTTGCGATATATAAGGCATTAATATATCATCGCTCCGCACACTACTATACTGTCTTTCGCTAACGACTGCAGCATGTCGACACTGCTTCACTGAAGGCATTCTCAACACTCGAGAGCCCAACGCAATCTCGAGCTCTCCTGCTTGATTATATATCACGCGATAGTAGACAATAATTACAATGCAGCAGTATGAACGCGGGGCTGTCGGCTGGCGAGCCTATACTAAATCCATCTACACCTCATGTATTGCTGTGCGCGCACGCGGGCGGCCGCATTCGTTACTATAGCGAGGAGCTGCCGAAATGTTTGAAATGAAAGCGCCGCAAGCGACACCTGGCGAGAGGCATCTGGGATTCAGAATGGCAGTTCTCATACGCGCAGAAATAAATGATGTGACGTCAATAACTGCACGCACGCGGTCAGACCCTGGATGCGAGTCGTGGACCATGCACTATGACCTTCTACTGACTGCTCTGTCACGCACGCGCATGCTGGGCGAGTTATATAAGCTATATAACGGTTACGGACCAGACCAGCACAAGGCAGACTGGTAAATCCTTTTTAAAAAGGCTCATCCCAACGCGCGATAAAAACGAAAACGAAAAACAAAAAAAACCACCATGACGATGAGACGACGACGACGCTATTTAAAACAACTATTTACAAAAGTTCGTGCGCCGTTAAAAAAAAGAGCAGCTGTTGCACGCGTAAGGCAGCGCCATCTACCGTGGCAATGCGGACAATCGACGTTAAGGATCAGCGACTGGACGCTACACGGCCGGTGCCGCGGTTAAGCATTCTGTACAAACACTAAATCATCGTAATACAGAATCTAGTAGAGAGTAAATGCATTCTAAAACGTGGAAAACGTAACAGTGACATCACAGGTCCCTTGCACAGCGTGCAGCACGCGACACACGCACCGAGCGCGCAACAATCTCGGCATACACCGGCGTGAAGCGACACCGACACACACGCCACGCACGCGTGAGGGGGGCAACAACAACGAACGAACTAATGAAATGTACAGGTATTACGATAATATGCAGGGTGGAGGGGGCAGGGTCAACGCAATAGAATAACATAATATAAAAACTCTAAAAGGAATCTGTCCGGTCACCGCAACGGCACAAACGACCCGATATCGGCGGCTCTTCGTCCTACCTCACCCGGCGACGGTGGCCCCATCTGTAGGAAACAATACGAGGTAACAACAAAAACATAAAGAAGTAACCAAAAAATGATTGTCATCATGTCCAAAGAAAACTCACTGACACACTGGCGAGCGAGGCATGGGACAGGGAGTGGCGTCCGCGCGGGCATGGATGTGCGCTTCATCATCATCACTAACCTTGACCCTGCGCGCGAAAACACACTGCGATCATGACCTTCCCAGGATGGGAGACACATTCACATAACCTCCGTCTCCTAACCCTTGACCCTACACGCCGAATCTCGCATGCAAAGGCACACGCGTCGTGCATACCGCCTCCCGTGGACAAAGGGATGCTCTCCACCCGCGAGAATCGAGTCACAACAAGGGAGATTTCGGGGGGAGGGGGGAGACACTCCTAGCGGAGCATGCCTGGGGGAGAGAAGCACCGTTGACAGACCCCGCGCTAGGGGCAGCATCTTGTTACCGGATGGCTTCCCGCAGGTTGCGCCCCGTCCCCCGCGTGCACCGACTGCGTCGAGGGAAGGACAGCGGTGTCTGTGAGACCCGTCGTCGCGCGTTGCTACGCTAGCGACGGCTAGCAACGAACAATAACGTCCGTCGACAGACTGTTCATACTGGCTTCTCGTGACCGCGTCACAGGTAATTATAACCAGTACAATAACCGCGTGTGTGCGCGTGCGCGCGGGGGATCGGGCAGCACGGGCGCGCGCCACGCGGCAGCCAATCTACGGCCATTAATTCTTCTCTCGCGCGCAGCACGCTTTCGCTCCACTTTACTCGACACGATTTATAGAAACAGTAAAAGCGCGTCACCTCTTTGCTATACTACAGTAGTGCTCGTGCACGTATGTATATAAAGATTGCAGTACATAGAAAAGACGTTCAACCTTTTGTACGGGCGACGATCAACGTAAAGGCACTATATGGGGTCATTCTAGTTTATCTCCCGCACCCCCAACTCCCTTTCTCTACGTGACGATGCCAGAAGGCAGCTATACATCCAACATGTAGAATCACACTTCCAAATTTGTCAAAATATTCCAAACTCACGTTGAAAAAAAAACGGCCGGGGTGACGCGCTGAATGTCGGTTGCATGGATTGGAAGTTCGAGGGGGTGCAGCGAGCAAACAGAAGTCTCCACCGCAGGAATCCGGAAGCCACAGCGTGCGCACGATGACTCAACGGCAACCATACCCTCCAGGCGGCACCACTGCAATGACGCAGTTTCAATAAAAATACACTACGACCAATCTTTGTTCTTCGTTTCAGCACCAGAGCGGAGCAACGACGCTCTCTCCGCTTTACAAATAGAGGGGCGGTTCGACCTTCTCCGCACGCAATGTCGTGTCGCGCATCCTCCCCTCGCCACCGGCAGGGGGCGCCGCACAGCTCAGAAAAAACAACACGTGGCTCCCTCAGTGCGAGCTTGACGACGTGGGCTCTCTGCCAACTACGCGCTTATAGTTCCTGCAGTTGGCGTCGCGCCACAATTGTCGAGGCGGCTCCACGTGATCGACTCGGGTGGTGGCTCGCCGACTCCCAATTCATCCTCGCGAGGGCGCCGGGAGTCGACGCCCGCTCGCCCGCTCGTTCCGGTCTTCTTGGCGGCGGCCCGTGCCACCGGCGCTCCTACGTGTAGGGTTTATGTCGGCCGCCGCAGCAGCCCCATCCGACCGCGCAGCGGCGACACGCGGCGAGCGGCGGGTAGCACCAGAGGCACGGCACGAGCAGCGCGAGGCAGAACAGACCCGCCCAGTGGCGGCAGAGCCCGCCGGCGTCGCCGTCGGCCGTCGCCGGGGGCCGCTCGCACGAGCACGGGTGCGCGAGCGCGCCGCCGCCGTCGTCCTTCTCGGCGGTGCAGTGGTAGAGCACGCAGCGCGCGCACACCATGCACGAGACGGCGTCGATGCAGCGCAAGCAGCGGTCGGGCGCGTCCGCGCAGTCGCCGCGCTCGTTCGCCGTCGGCTCGTACGGCTGCCGGCAGTAGCGGCAGCGCGGCGTCAGCAGGCTGCGGTGCTTGTACGCGCCGCCGCCGCCGCCGCCAAATGCGGTCCCTCCCCCTAACGTTCCTCCTGCTCCGCCGGCTCCGCGGTCCTTCTTCTTCTTGCCCTTCGTCGGCAGCAGCGGCGGCTGCGCGGTGATGACGTCGTCGGCGTGGTAGCGCTTGTCGTCGTAGGCGGCGGCGCGCCGCTCGGGCCGGATCGCGTCGAGGTTCGGGTACGAGTACTCGTGCACGCTCGGCCGCGTCTGCGAGAACTGCACATACGAGTACGACTCGTTCATCTCGACGCGCGGCACCCCCGCCGTGCCCGCCGGCGGCGTCGTAGGCGACGCGTCGATCAGCTGCCGGTCCTTGTAGCGGTCGAGCGCCTCCTGCTTCACCCAGATCTCCTCGACGGGCGGCCGCGGCAGCAGCCGGATCTCGGCGGGCGGCGGCTCGTGTATCGCCGGCGGCGCCCTCTGGTGGAGGTGGTGGTGGTAGTGGGGATGGTCGGCGCCGGCGCCGTTGTGAACGCGCGTCGACGCGGCGGCGCGCGCGACGTAGTGCAGCCGCCCGCCGTGCTGGTGGCCGTTGTGGTCGCCGCCGCTGACAATGCCGCGACCTTCACCGAGGCTCGGGGTCGACGAGGGCCGCCGCGGGGGCGGCACGGGGGGAGAACTGCCCGCTGATCCCGAACTGTCCCTCTCCAGGGGAAGATCGATGGCCTGTGGGAAAGAGGGGGGAGGTGTCAATACTGTGTCGAGGACTTATGACGATTATGCATTATTATGATGATGGTGAGAATAGTAATGATGGTGACAGTGATGATGACGATGATAATGATGATTATGATGGTGACGACGATGAAGATGACGATGATGATGATGATGATGACAGTGATGGTAATGACGATAGTGATGGTGATGATTATGGTGATGGTGATGACGATGATGACGACGATGACGACGATGACGATAATGATGATGACAATGTTTATGATGACAGTGACGATTATGGTGACGGTGATGACAATAATGATGATCGTGATGGTGACAATGATGATGGTGAAGATGCTGATGGTGACGATGATGACAGTAATATTGATGATGATGGTGAAGATGACGGTGATGGTGGTGATACGGACTCCATGGTGATAGCACAGCATTCGTCACGTTTGCACCTGCTCTGCAGCAGGACATTTATGGTCACACCCCTTCGAATAAGGTGTTAGTGTTTTTTGACTTGATTGGAATTCGTTTGTTAGATGAATGACTCTCGCTTGATGGAGCCACGAATACACACAGAAGCCAAAATCAGTCACTTTTCCCAGCCATATCCTCACTGTACCAATAAGAAAATGGGAGGGAAAAGAGTTCTGGCTTCCCAGCTTCGCTTTTCACCAACCTTCACGATGTCAACTGGATTTTGATTTACTACTCATTCAGTGAATCGGACAATCACGATTATTACGTAATATTACTCCTCACGTATGATATCGAATGCAGACGACTGGCTTTACACGCATGTTTCCTGCCGAAACGAACAAGTCTTACCATGAAGACATCGTCATCCGCTGGGTCTGTGTCGTACAGCTGTCTCTTCGGCTCGGGCGATACTGCAAAAGAAACATTTCGAAGTTTACGAAGACTGGACGACGTATCAGCACATCAAATGCAGATGCTCCTACGCACGACGCACGCAAACGACGCCGAAATTTCTCGTGCTAACTCGCGGGGTTTTACACGCAGCGTCTTCACGAGGAGCCGTCTCACTCATCCACCCACTTGTAATTAGTCGGCAAGAAGCTAGCAAGCCGCACGACGACGACGACGCCGACAGCGACGACAAACTCAACGCACGCGACTAATTGCTCAGGCTTGCGTACGCGCGCGCCCATCGACAACGAGACACCTCAGCCAGCCAGTGACATTTCATAACTCTAGCCTCGTGAGGTGTCCGGGACGGCGGGGAGGCGGGACGCTGCTAATATAAACAGGGTTGCTAAACCTCGCCGCGGACCGCCACTCGCGCACACGCGCGCTATCTGTAACGCGCCACCAGTGTCGCGCCCGTCGCCCCTCACGCTCGCAGCCCCGCGTCACAAGACTCGCCCGCCCACGCATTCCCCCCTCTCTCCGCGGTGGCGGTGCTTGGTGGCAGCGGTGGCGGCCAGCGGGTGAGTCATGCCTGTCACGCAAGCAGACTCGACTCCGCAGATGACATAACGACAGATGCAAACTTGATGTGAGAGGTGGGAGGGTGTGGAGGTAAGCGGTGAAGGTGAGGAGGCAGAGCTTAGGGACGGAGGTGGAGGAGGAGGTGTGTGGGCGAAAGTGAGGGGGCGGAGGTGAGGGGGCGGATGCGAGGGGAAGAGGTCGAGGTGATGGGTGGAGGTAAAGGGAAGTAGGGGAGAAGGTCGAGGAGAGGGGTGGAGGATGAGGGATGGAAGAGTCGCCGACAATCAAGGGGTAGTGGTGGGTTTTGCTGTGAGATGAAGATGCAAGTTGTAGCGTAGAGTAGGAATGCGAATGGAGGCGAAGCAGTATGAACGAGGTGGTAGAGGCGAATGATGGTGATCAGGTAAGGAAGTGGGGGCAAGGATGTGCTAGTCCGGGGGTGCGGCGAACTGAACGGCAAATGACCTGACGACGATCACGTACACATGCACACCCACGCACGCACGCGCGCGCGCGCGCACACGCTTCTGTCTCTCACCGCTGGCTGCGAGCCAACTAGCATCATCATCACCGTCGTCGTCGTCACCGTCGTCGTCGCCTCTCCGCCAACGCGGACTGCAGATAATTTAGCGGGGAGCAGTATTACCACGCCGAGCTTCCCGTGCTCGACTCGAGTTTCGACATGCTGAACTCGCACTAGCTCTCTACTCGGTGTTTATCGTGCGCCATTTACGCCTCCCATTTCAGCCTTACGTGCACAGGTTCGCGTGCGCACCAGCAGTACGGCGAGTAACCGCGTAAACACACACACGCACGCACGCACGTACGCACGCACGCACACCCACCCACCCACACAGACACACACACGCGCTTCCCATGTATTCCATGAACTTCTATGAACTCCCCATGTATTGCACGTATTTCCTAGATACAATAATGTAACCCAAACACAGAATAGGTTTTATCAGGATTTCACAGAAACCTATCCTGTGTTTGGGTCACATTATTGTATCTACGTATTTCCATGAAATTCCCATGTATTTCTGGAGGAGGAGTGCTCAACATTAATTAATAACATACTACGTTCCCCTTCACAGCTCACCTCACGTCTCCGTTTCACACGCAAAAGCTAATGTGATTTGGAGGGAAAGACTCGTGAGTTTAACCCACGTATCACCGCTACAATAAGTACAGTACTCGATACCAATACGCGTCACGTAAATATTATAACTCGGTATATACGAGAACTCAACACACGGAATAACACGTACGGCCCAGCTGTTAACGCATGCGCCGCCAAACGACTTGCGGGCTGGGCTGTTAATAAACGAATTTGGCTTGTAATGCAACGTTCGGTGAAATTAGACGAACGAGTATAATATCAATTTGGCGACAAGGTTACACACACCAAAAAACAGGGTTGTCAGTTATTCCAGAATTCGCCACTAGTGTCTATTACATAGCCATATTTTCTCCTTTAGAATATCGTAAAATGAAAAATTTGAAAATAACTTCTTTGAAGGAACTTTGAAGTAGTTTTTAAAGGCGAACGTGTTGGTCCAAATGGTCAGTGGTCAGAGTGGATGTCTCAAGAGATGATGACGGATGTAGAGAGCACCGATGTAAGCGATGACAGAATGCGGCGGGAGCACGTGCGCGTGCAATTAGGCTTCATCCGGAAATTTTCAGCTGTTACCTAGCAACTTGGGAGCAGCGAGCGTGATAGCGAGAGAGAAAGAGGAAGAGCAAGAGAGTACCAAGGAGAGAGAAAGAGTGAATGAAGAGTGAGACAGAGCGAGTTAGGAGAGAGAGAGAGAGAGAGAGAGAGAGAGAGAGAGAGAGAGAGAGAGAGAGAGAGAGAGAGAGAGAGAGAG